AGTGGCGTGCGTCGACGAGCACATCGTCACCGACTTTGAATGGATGATCCATTCGTGATCGGTTCGCTCGTGCGACCATGCGAGTCTAGGAGTCGGCTAAACTCTCGTGTGTGCGCTTCATAATCGCCACCATGTGGGCGATCCTGTCGTCAAGCGCAGGGCAACGAGTGTCTGGGCGCAACCGCGATGGTCATAGGAAATCCGCAGGTACGCGAGGGTGGTAGCCGAGGTCGCAATAGAATGACAACATCCCCGTGGCTGGCGAAACAGCGTCGTTCTACGCAATCTCCGCGTGGGCTAAGTGTAAGTCTCACTGCTGGTCATCCCTAACAAACTTTCGGAGGATATTACCGAGAGTTTTGTTAGTGACCTCAGTCTGACCATCCGTCTGAGGGTGGTAAGACGATGAAAAGCGGAGCTGGGATCCGTACACCTCGCGTAGGCGTCGCCAGAATGTGCTGGTAAAGCGCGGGTCACGGTCGGAGATGATGCTCTGAGGTAAGTCGTGATCTCTCACGACTCGGTTGAAGATGATGTCGGCGACCTCACAAGCCCTAATGCGATAGCGGCACGGAACAAAACGTGCACACTTCGTGAAGCGATCGACGACGACCAAGATAGCATCATGACCGCGCTGAGTGAGTGGGCGGAGGGGACCAATGAAATCCATCGTGATAGACTGCCAACGACCTTCAGGTATGGGTAGGGGCTGAAGTAACCCATACGGAAGGTGGTTCGCACTGTTCTTCTCCTGGCAGGTAGGACACTCTTGGATGTAGGCTTTGACAAAGTCCTTGGACTTCGGCCAGACGTATAGGCGGCAAACACGAGCCAACGTCTTGTGGAAACCCATATGACCGGCAGCTGCCTGGTCATGGAACTCTGCTACAGCCTGGACGCGGAGCTGTCCTGTGGAGGGAATGCAGATATGTGGTTCTAGCTGACCAGATCTGCCATGCCAGTACACGAGGCCGTTCTCCCCGAGGGAGTAGGAAGGAACGACCTTGCCACTCCTCAGTGTCGCGTGGATGACGCGATAATCGGGACAGTGGCGGTACTGATTGCGATACGCGTCGATCTCCGACTGATCAACACTGGTGATGGAGATGGCAACAAGATGGATGGGTTCCTGATTGTGATCAGGACGGCGGGACAAGGCATCGGCGACGCGGTTCGTTTCACCCTTGATGGGCTGAGTGGTTAAACTGAACTCGGATAAGTCACGCCATCAGCATGCCTGTCGAGGGGAAAGCTTAGGCTTCGTGAGGAAAGCCTGGACAAATGAGTTGTCCGTGCGCACCGTGAAGGGCGCCCCGTGCAGATAATGACGCCAATGCTGGGTAGCATAAACTACTGCGAGAACCTCACGTTCATCGACAGTGTAGTTTATCTCGGAAGGTAGTAGCTGACGGGAGTAGAAAGCGATCGGGCAATCCCCAGCACAAGCCTCGACAGTCCCATCCTCCGCGATGGTCGGGGAGTAAGTAATGGGGGGACTGTCAGTGGAGGGAAGTGGTGGTAGGATAGGCGTCTGTCGAGAAGCAGTGTCAGCAGGAAGGGGGGGAAAAGGAGGAACATGGGGGTAAGGTGAATCTGGAGGAGAGGGAAACACCTGAGAAAGGACAGCTCCTACTGCAAAATCTGACGCATCGGTGGTGACGATAAAGAGACGATAAAAATCGGGAAGGCGAAGAACCGGCGCGCAAGTCACCTCCTTCTTGAGGGCGCGGACGGCGTCCTCGCAGAGGGGTGTCCTAAACCATGGCGGGTTCTTCCGGAGGAGGGTGGAGGTAAGGACGTAGGAATACCTAGCGTWTCCCTGGATAAAATTACTATAGAAGCTGGTGAGGCCTAGAAAGYTGCGAAGCTGCTTGGCAGATGTGGGGACGGGCCACTCTGCAATAGCAATGATCTTCGCGTCGTCCATGTGGAGACCCTAGTCAGACACATGGTATCCTAGGAAGTCCACTTTGCGCTGGGCAAAGAGACACTTACTAAGCTTGGCATAGAAGCCATGCTTGCGTAAGCGCTGTAGGACATCGCGGAGGTGTCTGATATGGTCTTCTAAGGTACGACTGTAGACCAGGATGTCGCCCAGGTATACGAGAACGTATTCTTTAAGGATGTCCCTGAAGATGTCGTTCATCACCGTCTGGAAGGTGGCGGGTGCATTGGTGAGGCTGAATGGCATCACCGTGAACTCATAGTGGCCGAAGCGCGACCGAAAGGCGGTCTTCGGCTGGTCCTCTGCGGCAACGCAAATCTGGTGATAACCGCTACGAAGATCGATCTTTGTGAAGAAGCGGTTGCCTACCAGACGGTCAGATAGCTCATCCGCGGGGGGCATGGGATAGTTGTTCTTAACCGTGTAACGGTTAAGGCCGCGATAATCGATACAGAGGCGGAGAGTTTCGTCCGCTTTGCGAGCAAAGAGGACAGGTGCACCCCAAGGGGAGTTACTAGGTTTAATGAAACCAAGTCAAAGGAGCTCCTCAAGCTGACGCTTGAGTTCCGTCGCCTCTGGAATCGAGGGTCGGTATAGTGCCTGATGGTGAACACGATAGTCAGGCACGAGCTGGATGGAATGCTCGACACCGCACATCAGGGGAATCAGGCTGTATGAGAAATAAGGGGGGAAGACGTCGCGGTACTCCCGAATCAGGTCGCAAATGACGGGCTCTAAGTCAGTCGTGAACCGCATGAGTTCCTCAACGTCTGCGTCGGCATGAGACGTATGGGTGGACTCGGCAGTGGACGGCGTAGGAACCTGGGATGTCGAGGGGGTATCCGCAAGCTGCGGGGTGGGTGTAGAGATGGGAGCCGCGAAGATGGAGGAAGGGTCAAGGGGATCGGGCTCCAGTGAGATGAGCTCAACCTCGGGACAGAGTGGATCGTAGCGAAGAAGATACATGACGTTCAATGAGCAGAGCGTGACGTCCTCCTGTCGGATGAAGTGAGCAAAGTGATGGGGAGAAGTGAAGGAGATGTCTGGGTGGGACCCAGAAGGACGAGGGTCCTGGGGAGGTAGGTTTGGAGGGGTGTCGCCCGTGGTTCCAATGAAGGGGACTCGATAGGTTTGACCACACTTCGTTTCGAGAATGAGTGTCTCAAACGCCCATTTGGCCTCTATGCGACGGAACCGGCGAGACCAGGGAGTGCCAAGGATAAAGTCGTACCCAGTCTCCAGCACGTCGAAGTAGGCGGAGGAATGGTAGCGCCGAGGCGCCTGGGTACTATCCGGTGGCTGGAAGGTGAGGGAGAAGTGGAGGTCGGGGACCGTCTGATCGAAGAAGCGCTGCGTCTTGTTATCTCCGAGGGTAACGGAGATAGGAGAGCGAGACCCAGAGGTAGCTAGGCGAGCTTCCTCAACCACTCGAGGGTGAACGAAATCTCCCTGCGAGCCAGAGTCCCATAAAGCGCGGTACACCCTCGTAGATGTCCCTAGGCGGATAGGGATGATGGGTAGGGTGCGATCAGAGTCAGAGAGCAAGGCGAGAAGACGACGCAGGACGTTGATGTGTCTCGTGAGGCGCTCTGACGAGCCTGCAGAATGCTCAAGTCCAGGAGAGATGACACAACGTCATCGCGAGTCGCCAGCTGAGCGCCACAACGGGCTGTGCGAATGGCGCGACGCGTCGGAAGTCTCAAGCGAGAAGCGCAAGATGCGGCAGTCTGCTGGGAGGCAGACGGTACCTYRATAGACGATGGGGYGGAGAGAACTGCGTYTATCGTGTCYTGAGGGTCCTCTGGTGGGKTAGCCAAAGGGGCAAACCGCGACTCGGTGGTCGGAAAGCCGGCTACGTGCGAGGCCTCAGGGGCACAGTGCACCGTGGCTAGGTGGATGGGGCTGGCCGAGCGGGGCCGGGGGGGGACTGAGATCGACGCTGASGAGAGATGTCAGCGTAGTGCCGATCGAGGGCGGTATGGTATGGACACCGTGAGGAGGTGTGTCCATCTAGGCGGCAAMGAAGKYAGCCGCGCCGGGCCTCGAGGGCGGCACGCTCCTCAGGGGATAGAGCTCCGCGAGGAGGGACATAACCCTGCGGGAGGTCTATCTGAGGAACCGTGGGTRTGCGGGCGCCAGCCTGTGCAACCCGACTACGAGCACGACCCATGGCAGACATGGCCATCASCAAGCGCTCGGCCACCGGAACAGTGTCRTCATCCAAGTGATACAAGATGAYRTCTCGTAGCTYGATGTCCTCGGAGGSGTCCCCAAGGGTAGGGTCAAACTCGRCCGAGGCGTCCTCGCCGTACTCGAGAGAACTGTAGCGCTGAGAGAAYGAYGCTCCWGGGCGGKTCGGGCGACGAAAACGACCAGCAAACGAGGAGCGACCTCGGGTGGTACCCCGAGACTGAGAGGTGGCGGCTGGCCGCGAAGAGGATGGGGCGACGGAGAAGCGACTGCACATCCTCTGGTACTGACGCGCAGCCTCGTATGCCTGCTCCGCAGAAGAGAATGATTGCCTCCATAGCTCTATGCGATAGTCAGTCGGCAGGCTGACAAGGAACCGGTCGGTGAGTGTGACCTCCGGTAGGAACGTTTCGCCACAAACAAGGCGAGCGTCCTGAAACACCCGGATGTGACGTTCCAGGTCGGCCGGTACAGAGGACCCGGACCATCTGGTCTGGGTGATGCGGTCTAAGGCGTCGGTGGCGTCATGACGAGCGCCGAAACGGTCCTCAAGGAAGGCCGCGAAGTCGGCCAGAGTGGGGACCTCACCCACCCGG